GTGCAAACATGTTATAGAGACAACATGAGTTAAAATTAGTCTCAATCAGTTTGAGTGACTCTAGGGGTCATAGCAGTGTGTACCGTCTAATGGGTAAATGAATTATACCTATGGCTACTGTCCCAAATATCTCGATTACTTGGACTGTCCATATAGCGGAAAACTTGGTCTCATTAGCTTTACGCACGATATGGGCTGTATACGGCCTCGGGCAGCAGAATGAATTCCCATCGCATAACCGTGTTTATCGTGAATTCGTGGTTCTGAATAATGCAAAACAGCAATACATAAACGCAAATGAATTACAGCCAAGTGAGCAACCAAGAGCAAGAGTACCGAAGGTCACGCGGTAAATCGGAACAGTGCGATCATAAACGGTCCACTCAGCAAGGAGTCAAGCAAAACTGTAGTGCAGCACGGTTACAGGTCAAATATTAAATCAAGAAGCTTTCGGGCCAACAGGAAGTAATAGCTTCAGTCACAGGATAAGAAATTAACCTATAATCAGAATATACAAATTTGTATATTCTAGTGCGTTACCAATGTGTAAGTACACATAGCAGCAGTTTAAAATGACAGAAGTTATATGTGTGGACGTGAACGGATGAACCTGGCAATAGACTTGTTTGCGCCACAGATGTGCATCATGGTAGCTGTGGACTTGGCAACGGGATTATTCAGATCGATCAAACATTGTGGCGCTTGGCGACCCGTGACAATTGTGAACTTAAACTCAATGAGGTACGTACAAAGACGCCGTATCGCCCAGAATACAGCCAGTACTTCCTTCAGTGCCTGCTGATATTCTCACTCGGCAGCATTCAGAAATCGAGAAATACGGATGATCGGGCATCCACTTTGCTCAATCACTACACAGATCACAACCTCAGATGAATCCGCGATTAATATTGCTTGCTTGAATGACGCGAATGGGGCTAATGTTGGACTTTCAAATGTGCTGCTAATGAGATCTCTAAAGCTCTTTCACATTGGTCGGCCCACTGCCACACATTGGATGACTGGGCGAGGAAAAAACCGCTGTCCTTTCGTAGTGAAATTCGGTATGAATCTGGGGTCGTATTGCAAACATCCAAGGGCCAATCTCAAGTGTATGTACATCACGCAATTAACTGCGAGTAGTGTGTCGGATTGATGAATATTTGTTTAGCTGACTATCCTTCGGACCTCACCTTTCACACATAAACCTCAGGTCATCCGAGCAACCTGCACTCGGAAGCACCATACTCGAGTTTCTCTATTGTTAGAGTTCACCAATGGTGCATATCCTCTACCACACCCAGGGTTTGAACCCGGGCCCTTTCACCCCGAAGGCGTATGTGTTACCACTACGATGCAGGTGTAAAATGGGGGTATGTGTACTCCATCCTGTTGAGAAGACCTGACTTGGTTGGAGGCATTCGCTTGGAATTGACGGGGCTGGTACCGTGTCTCCATTCGAAGCTGTCGGACATCTCTTGCTCTCCTAGAGGTCGACATATGAACAAGCTTACCTTGGCGATTCGGGTTAGCCTGGACAGGAGCTGGGTGGCCTAGTGGGTAGGGTGAGATGTTTTGAAACGATATTTTCAGTGTTCACTCAACTTTCCATTCTGATTGATATTTATTTTCTGAAAGGAATACTTAGGCTATCCAAAAGAGACGAAAAATCGATTGGTCTATTGTTTCATCGGGTATGAACATTTGAATCGTTCTGAGGCGGAGATCCGAAGTCGGCCGGAGGTGCAGCTTCCAGTTGGAGCAGTGGCACATTGTTGGTGGTGATATCGCGGCGTCATATGTCAATCCGCAGGGTGGGATCAAGGATCTTATGAAGTTTCTGAGTACACTAAGAGAATTTCAGATGGATCATGAGTATCTCTGTGATGGCTAATATTCATCTAATATTCATTTCTTGTTAGCCCATCTTTGACGGTGTGGGTAAAACGAGCAATCCCACTTGGCCTCGAGTGAATGACCCAATTCATTCGAAATGATGGTAATTGCCATTTGTCTACTCCCAACCGGGCGTTGGTTCAAAATTCATGAATGATGTTTCTTTAAGCATTCAGAAAGACTTCTAATAATTCAGTCCAAGTAAAACGACTCCCAGGTGCAAGTGAACTGAGACACGATGAAAGTTCGAAGCCTCGGATATTCTGTCTTTCGGTTTAATGAGGAAAACTGGTCGAGATGTGAACAAGGCGCGAGGTTCCGTGCTGAGTTCTCTGTTTTTGATCGCCTTGTCATGTCACTTATTTAACACATTGGTTACGTTGTTTCCCCTTATGGGTAGGCGGCCTTCTTTATGGTTGTGTGGTGACTGAAATTTCTACTGATATTTTTCCTGATGAAGTAACTCGTTCACAAATTATGCATTCACAAGTTTTTAATCGATTCTTAGAGAGAGAAAGACGTATTGGATACATTATTCCATTAATTATACTCATTTTTTCATTTGACCACAAACCAACCAACCTGATCATGTGGCCGTTATTGATATCGATTTTGCTGATCATTGACGAGGTCATTGGATGTCCTACCATGGCTCCAAACAGCCTTCCCTGAAGCGAACAACCGTCTGAATGATGACCTCAGATGTAAGCAAGATGCTAGAATGGTGCACTAGTTAGTAGTACGTGCGAGCAAATTCGAATGTTTGAGCAAATTGGATAATGTATCAATTTGTAGATGAAGATAGGCAAGCAAGTCAGTTTGTGCCATTCCCTCAAATACTTTACGGCAAAAGGCAGAGTAATATTGCTTTATTCACGATACTTGCAACTCAAAATATATTAACTATCACTGATTCAACATAGATTCGGTCCATGCGCCGAGGTAAACAATATAATTAAAACTAACTATTTAGAGACATAACCTAGCTAAAGTACAGGTTTAGTGCAGTGAAGACGCCCCACACACTGATCATGTGTCTCACGACTAGAGGAACAAATGTGCACTAGTCGATGCGTATGCTAACCGATTCATATCGTATAAATTAGGATAAAGCCTGGAACAGTTGGATCTTACAATATTAATAATTTGGTATATAAATTATCAACAAAACTAAGATGGATACCAAATGTAACTAGTCATTCAGACCCAAACTTGTATATGACATCGGAAAATCTTTTGATCTAGCACATTTCGATCACAACAGGCTTACTGGAATAGTTAAAGCAGAAAGATGCATGTTTTGATTTCCGTACCACACTTCAAGTTTCTACAACTCCTTCTTACCCAATCGGCATTTACCATCATGAAATCTCAGCTATTCGTCGTTGTATTCTGAACTCTAAACTAGACGGCGATATGCAGTTACTATCACCTTCACATGTCCACAAATGTAAACTGACTGCATGAGCTTAGAAAAATCGTCAGCTTTCGAATCATCATTGAAAACCGTGGAAGCCCTGTACAGCTGTTGCATCTGCCTTGTTGGGAATCATCAGCGGTGCACATCCATCGAGTTCCAAAGACACTGGGACTCGGAGTGAACGATCGGGAGTCGAACACCTTAACCACAATATTATCCGGAAGAGCCGTCAACGATTTATTGAATTTATAAACTATACTGCCAAAAATTCCCAGCAAGAATGTAACAGCTATACAAGTCTTTCATAGTTTGACTGTTCACATTGCATGATGAATCATATTATGTAAAACTCTGATCTCCCACTATTTATTTTCAAAAGTTGTCAAGTTACACTTTTACGACGGATCACTTACACTGTAAAATCCCCGGAGCTCAATCCTTCGATAATTCAGTAACACCGTCTTTTTATACATCCCGAAACAAGGCAAACGGATTACCACCCATACAAGACAATAAGTCAGGTTAGTAATTTTGACACTCATTATGTGATGGAGTCTATATAGTACTGACCTAATAAGTAATTGGTTAAATGCATATGGGCCAATGATGGGCGACCATGGGACAACAATGAAAGTGATCGCCTCTCATGAACTGGGCTTGATAAGACGGAGCAAATCATAGAACCACAACATCGCACGTTCCGACCGAAAACAGGCTATCTTTAAGTGGAAAAGACAGCTGAGATGCAAATGAGAGGTGTTGTTTTCGGTGATTGGTTCTGTTGATGCTCGAATGACCGATTTTGACTCACGATTTGCTGGCCGCCTGGTTTCCTCGTTTACCACAATGATTTTCGAAATTCTTTGATGAAAAGTCAATCGTGGGGATGGACCGTTGTGTGATCGTCTAAGCCAATGGGCATTTTCTCTGGAGGGAGGGGACTCGGAATACGTCATCACATGTGTATGCTTCAGCTAAGTAAATGTACGGTTGATAACATTTCCAACACAGTTTGTTGATGAATCAAGCAAACGCTTTTGTGATTGAGAACAGCATACAAATGAGCCCATGTTCGTGGTACGCTCCCCTCCACGGCTCCATTTTAGTTCAATGAATACATGGTGAATCTTGATGGACAATTCTCTTTCGTTCTTGGAGATGGATTAAATTATAAAGTTCACCAAACGTACCATGAAAAAATACGACATCCACGACAATTAATTTGTTGATGCATGATAAGATTGAGTTATTGTCAAAATGCTTTTTATTCGTTCGATAGTAAAGTTCGCCTCTGACACTAATGTGAAACTATCCACCTGTCCATGATTCGCTCTGAGTTGTTGCGGGTTTGTCTCTCAGATCGGTCTTGCAGTGGGAGATATTGATCAAATTCAACGATCTGCCACAAATCAACTGATTGCCCAACAAGTCTACTGGTTAGATCAAGTGGAATCCAAGCTACCACGGTGGCTGTATAAGAAAGCACAAGTAAAGCAATGGATTATTCGACCACCCCTGACATTCAATAGAAGAGTAAGTGAAACAACAGTAAGAAATTGTCCCGAATCAAATTAAACTTTGCGTGTACATGACGCCGATTTGATGAGAAACCTCACAGTTGTTGGCATCTGGAACCGATTATTGGTCGTGTGACGTTCGTTTGGGATATTCGCTATCCACTGTCTCT